CATTTTACTTTTCATATTTTTTATCTTTTTCTTAGATAAGCCCTTTTAACATTTTGTGTAATAAGGGCTTGGTGATGTTGCACTCCTTTAACTTGACCTTATCTGAGAAACACTTTATCTGCCCTTCCATTATAAAGAATAGCTTTGTTGGATAGAGTAATCTTGAATGTAGGTCCTTGCCTTTCACGACTTGGAATACTTCCTTCCAGCTTCTTCCTGCCTGCAAGGTTTCTTTTGAGAAATCAGCTGATAGCCCTTATGGGAACTCCGTTTTAGGTAACTGTCTTCCTTTCTCTTGCTGCTTTTAAGATTCTTTCCTTATCTTTCATCTTGGGTAATGTAATTATGATGTGTCTTGGTGCAATGGCCCTCTTTGGATCCAACTTGTTTGGGACTTTCTGAGCTTCCTGGACTTCCTGGAAGTCCATTTCCTTTGCTAGATTGGGGAAGTTCTTCATTATTTTTTCAGATAAGTTTTCAATTTCTTGCTCTTCCTTTTCTCCTTCTGGCATCCTTATGATACGGATGTGGGGATGTTTAAAGTTGTCTTGGAGGTTCTTAAACCTCTCCTCATTTTTTCAAATTCTCGTTTCTTCATTCTGTTGTGGTTGGATATATACTTCTTTCTTCTCCAAATTGTTGGTTTGAGTCCTGGTTTTCCTTCTTTTCATGTTTGGTTCCCTGTATATATATTTTTTATTTCACTTTGCATAGCCTTCACTTCTTCCTCATTTCTGTGCGCATCCTGATTTACCAGTGTTTTGAATTCTGCATCTGGTAGGTTGGCTATCTCTTCATCACTTAGTTCTATTTTTGGAGCTTTGATTTGTTCTTTCATTTGGGCCATATTTCTTTGTCTTAGCACACCTTTAACATTGTAAGGGGCAGAGCCTTAGCTGTTCGCTAGGGCAGGGCAACCCACGTTACTGTGTTGTGACACTATATGTGGGGGAGGGTCATAGAGGGAACAATGGCACTTGATCAGCTCTGCCAGCTTTCAGTCATGTCTTCTGCTTCCCAGAAGTAAATTGGGCCCTTCTGGTGCTGGTTCCCGGGTAGGTGGGTTTCCCTGTACATTCTAGAACCCTACGGTTCTCCCCAGTGAACTCTCCCAGAGGCTGGGAGTTTCTCCTGCCACTGCAACCCCCACGGGTTCTTACAGCCAGAGTTTCTGAGTTTTTTTCCCCACGCTGGAACCCTGGGTTAGGTGGTCTGTTCTTGCTCCCTAGTTGTTCCTCCTAGTTCATCCGCACACAAATGTGGGACAGCCTGGTCTGTCAGCTGCTGCCTCACCCATCTGTTCCTCCAGCTGCTGCCTTGCTGGGTCCTGTCTGCCTTGGCTACCCAACTCTGCCCCCCTCCCAGTCTGGATGAATGTTCCTTCTTTAACTTTTTGGTTGTTGGACTTCCATACAGCTCAATTTTCTGGCAGTTCTGATTGTTTTTTGTTTTTAAATGTTTTGTTGTCCTTTGGTTGTGCAAGGAGGCAAAGTGTGTCTACCTACACCTCCATCTTGGCCAGAAGTCTCTGGACTAGTACTGGTATTTATCAAATGTTTTTTCTGCATCTATTGATATGATTATGTGATTTTTATCCTTCATTTAGTTTATATGGTGTGTCACATTTATTGATTCACAGATATTGTACTAACCTTCCGTTGCAGGAATTAATCACACACATCATGCTGTATGATTTTTTTTTTTAATGTATTGCTGGATCCTGTTACCTAATATTTTGTTAAGGATTTTAGCATCTATGTTCATCAGGGATATTGGCCTGTAATTTTCTATCATTGTAGTGTCTTTATCTGCTTTTAGAATTATGATAATGCTGGCATCATAAAATGAGTTTAGGAATCATCCCCTCCTCTTGAATTTTTTGGAAGGGTTTGAGTAGGATTGATGTTAGTTCCTCTTTGAATGTTTTGTAAAATTCACCTGTTAAGGTACCTAGTCCAGGACTTTTGTTTGCTGGGAATTTTTTGGTTACTGCCTTAATTTCCTTAGTTATAATCTGTCTACTCAGGTTTTCTGATTCTTCCTGAATCAATTGTGGAATAATGTATGTTCTCTACAAATTTATCTGTTTCGTCCAAATTGTCCAATTTGTTGGCACATAGTTGTTAGTAATATTATTTTACAATTCTTTGTATTTCTTTGGTGTCATTTGTTACTTTCATTTCTAATTTTATTTGAGTTCTTTTTTCTTGGTAAGTCTGGTTAAAAGTTTGTCATTCTTGTTTATCTTTTTAAGGAAACATTGTTTGGTTTCATTGATCTTTCATATTATTTCTTTGGACTTTATTTCATTTATTTCTGTTCTGATCTTTATTGTTTCTTTTTTCTACTCACTTTGGGCTTTGTTCATTGTTCTTTTTCTAGTTTCTTTTTTTTTAACTTTTTTTATTGATTATGCCATTACATTTGCTCTATTCCCCCCTCCATTCCCCTCCACCCTGCATACCCCTCCCCCACCATTTCCCCCTTTAGTTCATGAACACGTGTCTCAAATTCTTTAGATTCTGTATTTCCCCTACTATTCTTACCCTCCCCCCTATCTATTTTCTATCTACTGTCTATGCTACTTATTTTCTGTACCTTCTCCCCCCTTCCTCTCCTCCCACTCCCCTGTTGCTAACCCTCCATGTGATCTTCATTTCTATGGTTCTGCTCCTGATCTAGCTGTCCTCTTAGTTTGCTTTTGTTTTAGGTGTGGTTGTTACTAACTGTGAGTTTGCTGTCCTTTCACTGTTCATCTTTTTTATCTTCTTTTTCTTAGGTAAGTCTCTTTAACATTTCATATAATAAGGGCTTGGTGATGATGAACTCCTTGAATTTGGTCTTATCTGAGAAGCACTTTATCTGTCCTTCCATTCTAAATGAGAACTTTGCTGGGTAGAGCAATCTTGGTTGTAGATCTTTGGTTTTCATGACTTGGAATACTTCTTTCCAGCCCCTTCTTGCCTGTAAGGTCTCTTTTGAGAAATCAGCTGACAGTCTGATGGGAACTCCTTTGTAGGTGACTGTCCCCTTAGCTCTTGCTGCTTCTGGGATTCTCTCCTTCATTTTAATCTTGGCTAATGTAATGATGATATGCCTTGGTGTGTTCCTTCTTGAGTCCAACTTCTTTGGGACTCTCTGAGCTTCCTGGATTTCTTGGAAGTCTATTTCCTTTGCCAGATTGGGGAAATTCTCCTTTATTATTTGTTCAAATAAGTTTTCCACTGGTGGCTGTGCCTTTCCCCCTTCTGGTACCCCTATAATTCGGATGTTGGAACGTTTAAAGATGTTCTGGAGGTTCCTAAGCTTCTCCTCATTTTTCTGAATTCTTATTTCTTCATTCCTTTCTGTTTGATCATTTTTTTCTTCCTTCTGGTCCACTCCCTTGATTTGAGTCCCAATTTTCTTTCCATTACTATTGGTATCCTTTGTATCACCATTCATTTCAATTAGTTTAGCTTCCATATGTTTCTCTAATTTGTGACTAAAATCAACCAGTTCTGTAAGGATCCTGATAACCAGTGTTTTGAACTGTGCATCTGAAAGACTGGCTATTTCTTCATCACTTAGATCTATCGGTTCTGGGGCTCTGAGTTGTCCTAGAGCCATTTTTGGTCTATTCGTGCCATTAAGTAAGCGGAGCGAAGCCTTAGTTGTTTACCAGGAAGGGGAGACCCAGGTCGCTGGTTTGTGACGTTGTGTGTGAGGGCGTGGTCAGAGAGGGAGCAATGGCGGTCCTCTCCGCTAGCCCAGCCCGTCCAGTCACTCCACGCCTCGGGCTTGTTTATCTGATCGGAATTGTGCGAGCCTGCTGCCCCGCGCAGGCTTCCCTTCTCATTGGTTTCTCCGCACGCAGATGCGCGCGACCGACTGAGACAGCCTGCCGCACCTCTTCCCTGTGCGCTCCAGCAGCCAGCTCACTCGCGATCAGCGCCCTCGGTTGCCTGCGCGCACCGCACACCACCCCGGGAATTTTTTCTTGCTAACCTGCTCCGCTGCTGGCCTCGCTCCTCGTACCGGTCCAACTGAGTATCTAGTTGTCCTTTGGACTCCGTGTTGTCGATTTTCCATGTGGCTTGGTTGTGACTGCTGTTAAAAATAGTTGTTCTTAGATTTGGTTGTGCACAGAGGCAAGGTGGTTCCTCCACCTACGTCTCCATCTTGAGCCACTCTTTTTCTAGTTTCTTTAAGTGTAAGTTTAGATTGTTTATTTGAGATTTTTCTGGTTTCTTGAGCTAGGCCTGTAATGCTGTACATTTCCCTCTTTGGACTGCTTTTGCTGTGTTCTATAGATTTTGGGTTGTTGTGTTCTCATTTTCACTTATTTCAAGGTATCTTTTGATTTCTTTCTTGATTTCATTCTTAATCCATTAATTGTTTAATTAACATGTTATATAGCCTCCCTGCCTACTTTCTTAACTATGTTCCTATGTCGTTTCCTCCTCCTCCTTTTTCTTTCTTCTTGCAAGCCCTTTCACATTTTCATAGTACTGGTTTGATGGCAACTCCTTTTGCTTTTTCTTGTTTCCGAAACTCCTTATTTCTCCTTCAATTTTAAATAATAGCCTTGCTGGGTAAAGTAGTCTGTGTTCTAAGTCCTTGCATTTTTTCACTTTGAATATTCCATGCCAGTCACTTCTGGCCTAAAATGTTTCTGTTGAGAAATCAGCTGTCAGTCTTACAAGAGCTCCCTTGTAAATAACTGTCTTTCTGTTGCAGCTTTAAAGATTATTTCTCTGTTTTTAACCTTTGCCATTTTAATTATGATGTGTCTTTGGTGTGGACCTCTTTGGGTTCATCTTGTTTGGAACTCTACACCTCCTGGACTGTGTGTCTTTTTCTATCACCAGGTTTTGGAAGTTTTCAGTCATTATTTCTTCAAAGAGTTCCTTGACCCTTTGCTCTCTCTTCTCCTTCTGGTACCGTTGTGATGCATGTTGTCCCAAGGTTCCCTTAAACTATCCTCATTTTTTTTTTTTTTTTTGCTGTTCCTTTTTTTTACATGTAGGCAGCCAAAGGAAGGCAAAGGAAATTGCACATGACCTCCTGCCCTGAAGAGCTGAGGCATGCCAAATTTTATTCCAAGTTGCTACTTTCCTGAAGAGGGGCAACTATTAGCCCCCCCCCGCCCCGGAGACGGAATCACCTTGGGTTTTTTTGCTGTTCTGATTGGGTATTTTCTGCCACCTTGTCTTTCAAATCACTGATTTGACCCTCTGCTTTATCCAACCTACCGTTTCTTCCCTCTAGTGTGTTCTTCATTTCTGACTGGTTCTTTTTTATGGTTTCTATGTCCCTTTTCAGGCTGTTGTAGTTTTCACTAAGTTCCTCGAGCATCCTTATAACCATTTTTTTGAACTCTATATCTGATAAATTGCTTGCCTCAATTTCATTTAGCTCTTTTTTGGAGATTTCTCTTGTATTTTCATTTGTGACATATTTCATTGTCTCCCATTTTTTTGGCTGCCTCTTTGTGTTTGTTTCTATTTATTAGGTAGATCTGCTATGACTTTCCGTCTTGGTAGGGTGGACTTACGTAATAGGTGTCCTGTGGGACCCCGTGGTGCAGTCTCCTTGATCACCTGAGATGGGTGCTTCAGAAATTTCTCTTATGTGGACTATGTGGGCCCTCCTGTTGTAATTGAGTCTTGATTTCTATTGGCCTTCTCATGCATGGGGTTGATTCTCAAGCTGACTGACTGAAGATCAACTCATACCTCAGTATATGTGCTGCTCTGCAGATGCTGACCACATGAAGCAGAATACACCTCAGTAGGGCGTGGTGCCTGCTGAGTTCTCCCTTTAGATAAGCTGCTTGTTAAGCTACTTGCATCCTGCTCTGATGTTGTTTGAAGCTGGCCACTGGGTATGTTGGTTCAGGGGCTTTTTGAGAGGGAATCTCAGACAAGGCTATGCCAGACACTGCCTGTGATTGGCCCTTGGCAACTTGTTTGCAGCTACAAAGTAATCCATAGTTCATCACTGCCTTTGCTGGGGCTCAATGTGCATAGAAATGAATGAGCTGTGCACCAGGGATGACTTTTACCAACACCATCCTACCCATTTACTAGGGACAGGTCAGCAAAAGTCTCAAGGCACCAGAGATTGGCATCCACTTGTATGCTACCTGTGGGGCTCAGTCACTAAAAGAGCCTCTGGCAGTACTCAAATTCCATGAGGTAGGTTCTCAGTCGATGGGCAGGAGTGAGTGCTGGTCACCAGGTTGATACAGGTTCAATTTGGGTTTCAGTGGTTCTTAGGCCACTCAGCAAACGTCCCAGGTTATATGATGCCTAGTTGCCACCTGCTGCTGGGTCCTCATACGCCTCTGTGGTTGGGTGGGGTCTCAGGGAGTAGTCAGGGTAAAGCCAGCAGTTTTGCAGGTCCAAACAGACCCAAGATTTGACCGTGTGAAAGGAAAGTGTGCCAGGGAAATAATGTCCTCTGTCTTAGAGTCACATTACTCAGTCTGTCTCAGATTCTAGAGCCCGTTCTCAGCAAGGTGGGTTGCTGGGAGTCCAGAAGAGGGGCTAGTGGCTCTCCCATGAAGGGGAGTTGCTGATCAAGCTTGGGGGAAAGAAGCAAGTAGCACCAGTCCCAGAGTAATGCAACTCAGTCTGTCCTGGATTCTGCCCAAACCTAATCAGTGTGAATCCACCAGGAGTCGAGAAGATGGGGCCACCAGAAGCCCAGAGAGTGGGGCTAGTGGAAGATGGAGTCTGTGGTGTAGGGGAGGACTCAGCTCAGGGATCTTGGCCGCCGTCCCTGTAGCTCACTCCCTAGTGCCACAAACCCCAGTCTCTCCTCACACAGCTCTAGTCAACTCCTCCCTTCCCCCACCATAGCTCAGGGTGAATGGTGCATTGGCCCTTTAAGAGGCTATGTGTGTGTCTCTAGCAGACTGCTGTCTCTCCCTAATAGACAGACTCCCCACTGATTTTCACAGCCAGATGTTATGTGTGTGCCTCTTCCAGCTCTAGTGCTCTGGGCTAGGGAGCCCCATTTGGGGTTGAGAGCTCATGCTTCTCAGGAGAATCCTTCTCTGGAGGGAATATCCCTTCAGAACCTCAGCTGTCACCCATCAGAGCAGGGCTAGCCCTTTTCACATCTCGGCCCTTCCTCCCAGTCTCAATATGGCTTCTGTAAATCCTTGGTTATAAGACTTCTCAGCCAGTCTTCAGTTGGTCACTCAGGTTGGTTACTCTTAGTTGTAATTCCAGTTTGGTCCTGGGAGGCGGTGAGTGTAACATCTACCTCCTATTCTGTCATCTTGGATCCCTCCTCTCTTTGACCTTTGCCTGTCTCTACCCTTACTCCATTCAGGTCTCTGATCACATGATACCTCTTCCCCTGACCACTCTTCCTAGACTGTTTTCCATCTATTTTTTTTAAGTGTTTAAAGATTTTATTTATTTATTTTTAGAGAGACAGGAAAGAAGAGAGAAAGGGAGAGAAATACCGTTGATCAGTTACCTCTCACATGTCCCCAACCAGGAACCTGGCCTGCAGCCCAGGCATGTGCCCTGACACGGAATCGATCCAATGACCTTTCGGTTTCCTGGCTGGTGTTCAATCCACTGAGCCACACCAGCCAGTGCTGGTTTCCATCTTTAACTTCAAAACTCTCTCCCTGTGTCTTAATTTTTCTACCTAGGAGTTACTTCTTCGAATGTAACAGGGAAATGCTGAGAGAGTTTTCCCTTTTGCTATTTTGCTAAGAGGGTTGGTTTTTATTTATTTATTTATTTATTTATTTATTTATTTATTTATTTATAGAGAGAGGGGAAGGGAGGGAAAAAGAGAGAAATATCAATGTGTGGTTGCCTCTCACATGGTCCCCACTGGGGACCTGACCTGCAACCCAGGCATGTGCCCTGACTGGGAATTGAACCAGTGACCCTTAGGTCTGCAGCCCGTGCTCAGTCCTCTGAGCTATACCAGCCAGGGTGAGTTTTTTTTATTCTTTAAATCATGAATCAGTGTTGAATTTTGTCAAATGCTTTTTCAGCCTGTATAAAAATGATCAAACAGTTTCTCCTTTTTTAGGTCATTATTAATAGGAAGAATTGCATTGATCGATTTTTCTAAATATTAAACTAACCTTGTATTACTGGGATAAATTCCACTCAATATTGTCCTTTTTATATACTGCTGGTGTCATTCATTTTTATAAGGGATTTTTCTGTCTATGTTCATGAGGGGAATATTGGTCTGCAGGGTTTTTTCTCTTGTAAGATCTTTGTTTTGGCAGTAACGCTAACAAACCTCTTTTAAAAAGCTGGGAAATAGCTTATATTTCCCAGCTTATATTTTTGGAGGAGTTTACTTAGAATTGCTATTGTTTCTTATCGTTTGGTAAATAGTTCTCATTGTTTGGTCTTTGGTGAGCTGAAATGGACTAGAGTTTAAATTATATTATTAAATTTCTTCATAGCTGTAGAACTATTTAATTTTTCTCTTACTGAGCTATAATTAACATATAACATCATATTAGTTTCAGGTATACAACACAATGGTTTGATGTTTGTATATATGGCAAAATGATCACCAGTATAAGTCTAGTTAACGTCCATTACTACATATAATTACAAAATTCTTTCTTGTGATGAGAACTTTTAAGATTTACTCTCTTAGCAACTTTCAAATGTGCAATACAGTGTTATAAACTATAGGCACCATGCCTTACCCCCATGATTTATTTTATAACTCAAAGCTTTAACTTTTTGACCACCTTCACCATTCTCTTCCCCCCACCACTCCTCCCTGCCCCACCCCTGGCACTCATCAATTTGTTCTCTGTATCTGTGAGCTCAGTTTTTGGTGTTTTATGTGTGTGTGTGTGTGTATACACACATATACATATATACATATTATACATGCATGTATATATACATATATATATACATTACACACACGCACATATATGAGGTGTGGTATTTGTCTTTTATCCATCTGACTTCTTTCACTTAACATAATACCCCCAAGGTCCAACCATGTCATGGCAAATGACAAGGTTTTATTTCTTTTTATAGCTAATTATTCATTGTAGATATGTACCATGACGTCTTTATTCATTCATCCATTGATGAACATTTTGGTTATTTCCATATCTTGGCTATTGTAAATAATACCTCAATGAACATTGGGGTGTATATATCTTCAACTTAGTGTTACCATTTTCTTCTGATAAATACCCAGAAGTGGGATTACTGGACCATATGGTAGTTTTATTTTCAACTTTTTGAGAAACCTCCAACCTGTTTTCTATAGTGGCTGCACCAATTTACATTCCCACAAACAGCGACGAGGGTTCCCGTTTTTCTGCCTCCTCACCAACATTTGTTGTTGCTGTTGTTTTGTCTTTTTGATAATAGCCATTCTGACAGGGATGAAGTGATGTCTCATTGTGATTTTGACTTTATTCCTTGATGTTTAGTAATGTTGAATACTTTCCTCTAATTCGTGTGTACATCAGTACTCAGTCAAAGATTAGGAGGGGTCCTTCTGTTCTCTGCTTCTCAAACTATAGCCACATTGGCCTCCTCTAATATATCGAAACATTACTATTTGTCTCTTCAATTCAGCAAAACTGCTGGGCTCTGTCTGGGTCACCTCTTTTGCACTCTGGCCTGCAAACAGCCCCTGGACAGTAAGTTGAGGCCATTGCAGGGTCCTTTGTTTTCTCACTCTGAGATCACAGTCCCACTGTCTGTATGGTTCAGTGTCTGAAGTCCTCCCAAATATTTTAGCTGGTTTTCTACCTGTATAACGTGGGAGTATAAATCCTGTCCCTGTCATGTTATGTTTCCTAGAAATAATGGTGCTATTAATTATAGTTTTTAAAAATTTTAATTAAATGACAGTATTTGGAATGGCTAAGTCAGGCCTGTCGCTATTAGTAAGCTAATACAATTAGTAACAATTTTCCCCAAAACTGTTCACAATTTGCCTTGGGAGACTCCTAGATGGAACCTGGGGGCTGGTGGTAAAAGCAGGGCAGATCCTAAAGTAAATCCTGATTATCACAAGGAAAACAAAAAGTGGAGTTTATTCTGACATTTCCTCCCAGAATCCAGCCCTGAACAGGACTCTACAGTGAAAGCTCAGGGTGGACACAAGCCTCCTCACCCAGACAGAGAAGTGCCAGCACAGC